TGTCGAGATCCAGCATTGGCTGTTTCTCGTTCACAGTAAATTTAAGTCGGTTGAGTTTTGTTGGGTTCCCAGCCATATTGGTGTGTCTTTAAATGAGCGTGCGGATGCTGCCGCTAAGGAAGCTGTCCGCTCTTGTCCCATCTCTCGTAAAGGCATTCCGTATTCCGACTTTTACCCAGTTATCCATTCCTCAGTTCTTACCCGTTGGCAGGCTTCTTGGTTGTCTGTTACTGGTAACAAGCTACGTACTCTTAAATGTTGTGTTTCCTCGTGGCCGTCCTCCTTCCACCGTAACCGGCGGTGGGAAACAGCTCTGGCGAGGTTGCGTATTGGCTATACTCGCTTAACCCATGGTCACTTGATGGAGCGCCGCCCTGCTCCTTATTATCCTAGTTGCATTGTCCCTCTTACGGTCGTGCATGTCCTTCTTGAATGTCCTGACTTCCAGGACGAGCGTGTGTCTTGCTTTCCGACCGCCCCTCGCGGTCACCTGTCCCTCGATAGAATTCTTGGTGACTCGGATACTTTTGATATCGTTCGCCTTATGCGTTTTTGTTCTCGTATTGGCATCCTTGGTGATATTTAGCGCCCTCTGATTATTTTGCGTATTTGATGGTGCTACATAGCCTTCCCGGTTTGGTGCCTTCTTTTGATAATTACTTACTTACTTCAGCTGCTGCTCCACACCACACTAACTGTTTCTACTCCTCTCTCAAGCCGAGAGAGCTGTCCTAGTTATAAATTACAGTTATCAGTTTTAGTTATCAATTACAGAGCAGGGTTATCCTAGTTATCAATTACAGAGCAGGGTGAATTGAACAAACTAATCCTAATTACTCGCAACCCCAGATGGTTGCATTATCATTTAACTGGTGGTAATTAAATTAGGCATCTTGGAAAAACTATATCAATTACAATATTGGCTAGTGGACTTTAATTTGTACAATATGAATTAGTAAATATGGAAGATTGTGGTCACGTCGTGGGCCTAACTTTGACCCTGGTAGGTCAGGCACGTCGCCCGGCGAGGTAGTACCCTCAAATCTACTCAAATCTACATGTCGTCAATGTCTCTTTGACGATATACAACCCTGTTCTCACCCTTTACTTTCATATTTATTCCAGACTGGTTATTACACACAATCTCAGTATTATTGAAAACAATATTAAATGAAAACTTGAATTTCTGTATATTACTGAAGTAACATGAAGGAGGATTGAGGTGGAAAGTGCGGACAGCCACATGGTGACGACATGACCTAGCCGGTCTTGCTAAATGCATCTGGGTCATCTGCTCTCGGATGAAAGAAGGTGATTTGATTCTTTACTCATCACTGACGTAAATTTAATCTACATGTTTGACAACAGGGGTTATTAATTACCGTTACTTTAATGCATGAATTACTCAAAAGTGATACTTTAAATTCAAGAAGAGCTGGCGACCCTGCATACACACCACTGTGCTAATCAACGGCTAGTGACCTTCCACAGCTCCAAAGTCAGGTCCACTCCTCTGCCACTCTTAACGTTTGCCATACCACGTGACCCCCATATAATATTTATGCCAGATCTAAATAACTAATTTCTACTACAACTAGTTTGTTAAAACCTCACCCAAAAACGGATATAAGCATGAAATGATGTGTAAAATCCTGTCTTCGTAAATGTGAGATATCCTTGTGAAACGCTTCTAGACGTGAGATCATAAATAAATAGGAGAAAATGAACTTTGGAGAGCTAATTTTTCAATTACCCCCGACAGTGAAGTAAAACGTAAGAAATATTAAGAAGATTCGTGTTAGATTCATTAACCTTACCCTTTCGGTCACATTCAACAACATGTTTACCAGAAAGACTGCTACCAAAATATACTAATATATAGTAAACTATAATATATATATATATATATATATATATATATATATATATATATATATATATATATATATATATATATATATATATATATATATATATATATATATATATAGTGACGGTAACGCGTTGGTGTTCGGCTGTTTAAGGCTAGGGGTATGGCCTCGTCACATAGTTATAAAAAAAAATAGAAAAACTGGAACTTCGTCTGTGGTAAGGTAAGGAGAAGACACACAAAACACAAGTAAACTTTAACAATGAAATTTTAATTACGTTAAATAAATCAAAACATGAAAAAATGGACAAACAAATTCGTATAATAAAATCAATCAATCAAAATAATAAGAATAATTAAATGACACAATGAAAAGTTACGTTAAGACAAAGTAACAAGAAGTGCAATACAAAATAAAGGTAAGGTGCTGGAATATTGGCTTTAAGCTACCACCTCTCTCAGTATACGCTAACGTCTAGCCGGGAGGAGTGGTAACCGCGGAAGCACAGAATATTCTGAGGTCTGAGGTCGTGGCGACCCCAGACATCAAGTAGTATGGAGGGGTGGAGTGCAGTTGCAGCCCGGCCGGCGACCAATCAGCGGAGCCGGTAGCGATCAACAGGTAGTTTGGCGGTTTGAGTCTGAGCAGGTGTCTCTGGCTGCATACGTTTTGCGCTCTGGCAAACCTTGCTGGTGTTGTTGTCGTTGTTGGACATTTCTTCCCTAGTAGTTTTATATAGTTTGTTGCGACGTATTTGTAGAGGGAAGAGCAGGCTCAATCTCTTGAAGGAGATTATTGTCACAATATATATATATATATATATATATATATATATATATATATATATATATATATATATATATATATATATAGTATAGTATAGTATACTTAAACAATTGGTTTTAGGAATACTATCACTTACACTTAGAATATTCAGTTCTTCCTCATGTTTAGTAATTTGGTTGAACAAAGGCATCCGAAGATGATCCTAATGGCTTCGTCTTGCATTTTGTTCAGCCCTGCAAGCATTCTTCTGACACTAGGGCACTCAGGGGTAATGCATAATCACAGTTCTCCAATATGAAAGAAACATTATCACTGCTCTACAAAATGAGAGGCACATTATCACTGCTCTACAATATGAGAGGCACATTATCACTGCTCTACATATGAGAGGCACATTATCACTGCTCTACAATATGAGAGGTACATTATCACTGCTCTACAATATGAGAGGCACATTATCACTGCTCTACAATATGAGAGGCACATTATCACTGCTCTACAATATGAGAGGTACATTATCACTGCTCTACAATATGAGAGGTACATTATCACTGCTCTACAATATGAGAGGCACATTATCACTGCTCTACAATATGAGAGGCACATTATCACTGCTCTACAATATGAGAGGCACATTATCACTGCTCTACAATATCAGAGGCAAATAATCACAGCTCTCCAATATGAAAGAAACATTATCACTGCTCTACAAAATGAGAGGCACATTATCACTGCTCTACAATATGAGAGGCACATTATCACTGCTCTACAATATGAGAGGTACATTATCACTGCTCTACAATATGAGAGGTACATTATCACTGCTCTACAACATGAGAGAGACATCATTTTCGTAATTGTTACATTTGTGCCACAGCTATAGAGATTGCCTATCACAACCTTGAGAGCACTGAGCCTCTTTCTACTCTGACGAGCCAATCTGGATTCAACAGGCCGTTAGACCAACGGAAATTCCCTTTAGTAAAATAGACTCGTTACTCTTTTTATATAGAAGTGGTGTAAGGCTTTAAGTAAGCTCGACTTTGTCAGCATGTCAGAGTCACACTATGTTCTGTGAGTGTGTCATGTCAGGCACGAAGGCTATATCAGTGTGCAACGAGGGTCACACTAGGTAATGTGAGTGTGCCGTTGTGTCACTGGGTTCTGTGAGTGTCCCGAGGGGGTCACACTAGGTTCTGTGAGTGTGACAAGATGGTCACACTAGGCTTTGTGAGTGTGACAAGATGGTCACACTAGGCTTTGTGAGTGTGACAAGATAGTTACATTAGGCTCTGTGAGTGTGACAAGATGGTCACACTAGGCTTTGTGAGTGTGACAAGATGGTCACACTAGGCTTTGTGAGTGTGACAAGATGGTCACACTAGGCTTTGTGAGTGTGACAAGATGGTCACACTAGACTTTGTGAGTGTCCCGAGGGGGTCACACTAGGGTATGTGAGTGTGACAAGATGGTCACACTAGGCTCTGTGAGTGTGAAACGATGGTCACACTAGGCTCTGTGAGTATGCTAAGAGGGTCACACTAGGGTCGGTGAGTATGCCAAGAAGGTCACATTAGGGTCTGTGAGTATGCCAAGAAGGTCACATTAGGGTCTGTGAGTATGCCAAGAGGGTCACACTAGGCTTTGTGAGTATGACAAGAGGGTCACACTAGGGTCTGTGAGTATGCCAAGAGGGTCACACTAGGCTCTGTGAGTATGCTAAGAGGGTCACACTAGGGTCTGTGAGTATGCCAAGAGGGTCACACTAGGCTCTGTGAGTATGCCAAGAGGGTCACACTAGGCTCTGTGAGTATGCCAAGAGGGTCACGCTAGGCTCTGTGAGTATGACAGGAGGGTCACACTAGGCTCTGTGAGTGTGACAAGAGGGTCACACTAGGCTCTGTGAGTATGACAAGAGGGTCACACTAGGCTCTGTGAGTATGCTAAGAGGATCACACTAGGGTCTGTGAGTATGCCAAGAGGGTCACACTAGGCTCTGTGAGTATGCTAAGAGGGTCACACTAGGGTCTGTGAGTATGACAAGAGGGTCACACTAGGGTCTGTGAGTATGCCAAGAGGGTCACACTAGGCTCTGTGAGTATGCCAAGAGGGTCACACTAGGCTCTGTGAGTATGCCAAGAGGGTCACACTAGGCTCTGTGAGTATGACAAGAGGGTCACACTAGGCTCTGTGAGTATGACAGGAGGATCACACTAGGCTCTGTGAGTATGACAGGAGGGTCACACTAGGCTCTGTGAGTGTGACAAGAGGGTCACACTAGGTTATTGTTTCCATTCAGTAATGCTATCATAGTTTTTTTATATTGAAATCAAAACATTTCAGGTACGACAGTCTCATTCCTCCTGACTCTGTGATTCCTGGTGTGAGTAGGGATGATCCTATGCAGCCTGGAATGACTTGGAGGATCTTGCAGGAGCTGGAGGTCCCAAGGGTCATAAAGTCTCACCTCCCAAAGGAACTCCTTCCCAAACAATTCTGGGACGTCAGGCCGAAGGTATTCCTGTAATTGTTGTGTATTACAGTCTGAGGTTTTGGCGTGAATGTATACATAGTTGAGTGCGTCCTAGCATTGATGCACCAGAACAGCATCAGGGCTTAGCTGAAATAGGAGTTCTCCAAAACTCATTTTCGTTATTTCAAGGTGAAGAAAAGAAGTGAATTACTATAGAATGTATTACACTTATTTATACAATTTGCACAACGTTTCGAACCTCCATGATTCATTCTCAAGTGAAAAGAATTTTCAGGATTAGTTGATTTTATACCCGCACTAGGTCAGGTGATAAGACAATAAAGGTGAAAACATGGGGGGATACATAAGGGATAAATGGGGGGTGAAACATAAGAACATAAGAATAGAAGTAACTGCGGAAGGGCTATTGGCCTATACGAGGCAGCTCCTATCTACATACAAAGATTAATCAAGTGTAATTGGCCTGTTATGTTGAACAGTGTCTTCTGTGTTGGCATCGTTATGTTCTGGTCTTGTCCTTACTCTCATGGTGGGTAGAGTAAATAGTTCCATGATTTGGGTGTTCATGGTAGGTTGTTCTATTCTTATGTGAATAGCTTCAAGAATTTGTAATCTTCTTGCATCTTGGGTTTTGTCTATTATACAGGTATTTTTGTTCAACATTTCTCTTGTTAGGGTGATGTCATGGGCTTGTCTCATGTGATTCCTGGGGGCACCGGATTGAAGATGGCATGCCAAACGCCTCGTCACCTTGGTCGACGTCATACCTATGTACTTAGATTGAAGGTTACATCCTTCATGGGGGCAAGTGTACATGTATACAACGCTTGACTGCTGTAGAGGGTTCTCCGTCGGCTTCGGGCTGTTTTTGATAAGGAGTTCGGAAGTCTTCTTGGTTTTGTAGAATATTATCAGGTTTATGTTTTGGTTAGGAGTAATGCTTTTTACTCCTTTACGGATTATTTCTTTCATTATTCTTTCCTCTTTTATATGTTCACTGTGCATGGTTGATTTGTAATATAATTTTATTGGAGGTATTGTGGTTTCTGTTCTAGGTTCAGGATTATACCAACGGTCCAAGTGTCTTCTTATAGAGCGTTTATTTCCGCGTTGCTATAACCGTTGTTCACCAATATCTGAGTTACTCTTTCAAACTCTCTACTCACGTTGCTCCATTCAGAGCAGTGGGTAAGCGCTCGACGAATATAGGCATTGAGAACACTGGCTTTGTATTTTTGGGGGCACGCTGCTATAAGATGACACTTGGACCGTTGGTATAATCCTGAACCTAGAACAGAAACCACAATACCTCCAATAAAATTATATTACAAATCAACCATGCACAGTGAACATATAAAAGAGGAAAGAATAATGAAAGAAATAATCCGTAAAGGAGTAAAAAGCATTACTCCTAACCAAAACATAAACCTGATAATATTCTACAAAACCAAAAAGACTTCCGAACTCCTTATCAAAAACAGCCCGAAGCCGACGGAGAACCCTCTACAGCAGTCAAGCGTTGTATACATGTACACTTGCCCCCACGAAGGATGTAACCTTCAATCTAAGTACATAGGTATGACGTCGACCAAGGTGACGAGGCGTTTGGCATGCCATCTTCAATCCGGTGCCCCCAGGAATCATTGTACCTAGTAGCCAGAACGTCGTACTCGGCCTGCTATGCAAGGCCCGATTTGCCTAATAAGCCAAGTTTTCCTGAATTAATATATTTTCTCTAATTTTTTTCATATGAAATGATAAAGTTCCCATTTCATTATGTATGAGGTCAATTTTTTTTTATTGGAGTTAAAATTACCGTAGATATATGACCGAAACTAACCAACCCTACCTAACCTAACCTAACCTAACCTATCTTTATAGGTTAGGTTAGAATAGGTAGCCGAAAAAGTTAGGTTAGGTTAGGTAGGTTAGATAGTCGAAAAACAATTTATTCATGAAAAATTGGCTTATTAGGCAAATCGGGCCTTGCATAGTAGGCTGAGAAGTGAGTTCTGGCTACTAGGTATGATATATATATATATACATATATATATATATATATATATATATATATATATATATATATATATATATATATATATATATATATATATATATATATATATATATGTCGTACCTAATAGCCAGAACGCACTTCTCAGCCTACTATTCAAGGCCCGATTTGCCTAATAAGCCAAGTTTTCATGAATTAATGTTTTTTCGTCTACCTAACCTAACCTAACCTAGCTTTTTTTGGCTACCTAACCTAACCTTACCTATAAATATAGGTTAGGTAGGGTTGGTTAGGTTCGGTCATATATCTACGTTAATTTTAACTCCAATAAAAAAAAATTGACCTCATACATAGAGAAAAGGGTTGCTTTATCATTTCATAAGAAAAAAATTATAGTAAATATATTAATTCATGAAAACTTGGCTTATTAGGCAAATCGGGCCATGAATTGTAGGCTGAGAAGTGAGTTCTGGCTACTAGGTACGACATATATATATATATATGTCGACATATATATATATATATATATATATATATATATATATATATATATATATTTATATATATATATATATATATATATATATATATATATATATATATATATATATATATATATATATATATATATATATACAGTACCAAAGGTAGAATCTGGTATTGATTGGGTGTTGCAAGCAGCATTCTTACAATTTAATATCATCACTGTAACCATCTTCACTGCAAACAACCTAATGCACTGCAACCATCTTCCATACCCTTCACCACCTTCCCTACCCATGACCATCTTCCACACCCTTCACCACCTTCCACAACCTTCACCACCGTCCATACCCTACACCACTGTCCATATCCTTCACCACCTTCCACACCCTTCACCACCTTTCATACCCTTCACCACCTTCCATTCCCTTCACCACCTTCTATACCCTTCACCATCTTTCATTCCCTTCACCACCGTTCATACCCTTCACCGCCTTACATACCCTTCAACCCTTCCATACCCCTTAACCACTTTCCATACCCCTTAACCACTTTCCATACCCTTCGCCACCTTCCATACCCTTCACTACTTTCCAATCAAATTCAAATTCAAATGTTTATTCAGGTAAAGTACATACATACAAGGTGTGATACAAACATTGATGGATTTATAGATAGAGTTAGTACATACAATGCCTAAAGTCACTATCACGCAAAGCGTTTCGGGCAGGAAAAACACTAAAGACTAAAACTTAATACTAATTGAGATTAAAGTATAAATTGTGTTGAGAAAATATATAAATAAAAAAAGGGGGAACATGACAGAAAAATAGCAAATATACAATTTGGTCGACAAACAGCATTGTTTAAAATAGCAGACATAAGTTGATATTTAGGGGTGAGGTAGGTTACAAGGAGTTAATTAGGTAGTGCTTAGTTTTTATCTTAAACTGGTTGGGAGTGGTACAGTCTTTAACATGACTGACAAGGTCATTACACATTCTGGGCCCCTTGATTTGTAGAGCATTTCTAGTTTAAGTCTTACTCTTGGAATATCAAAAAACGTATTTGTTTCTGGTGTGGTGCTCATGGGTTCAGTTACAACCTTCTTGTAAGCTTTTAAGGTCAGAATTGACATTACAGTTCAGCTTTATATATATATATATATATATATATATATATATATATATATATATATATATATATATATATATATATATATATATATATATATATATATATGTTGTACCTAGTAGCCAGAACGCACTTCTCAGCCTACTATGCATGGCCCGATTTGCCTAATAAGCCAAGTTTTCATGAATTAATTGTTTTTCGACTACCTAACCTACCTAACCTAACCTAACCTAACTTTTTTGGCTACCTAACCTAACCAATAAAGATAGGTTAGGTTAGGTTAGGTAGGGTTGGTTAGGTTCGGTCATATATCTACGTTAATTTTAGCTCCAATAAAAAAAAATTGACCTCATACATAATGAAATGGGTAGCTTTATCATTTCATAAGAAAAAAATTAGAGAAAATATATTATTTCAGGAGAACTTGGCTTTTTAGGCAAATCGGGCCTTGCATAGTAGGCTGAGAAGTGCATTCTGGCTACTAGGTACGACATATATATATATAGATATATATATGTCTATATATAGGTTAGGTTAGGTTAGGTAGGTTAGGTAGTCGAAAAACAATTAATTCATGAAAACTTGGCTTATTAGGCAAATCGGGCCATGCATAGTAGGCTGAGAAGTGCGTTCTGGCTACTAGGTACAACATATATATATATATATATAATATATATATATATATATTTGATAATATCGGAGGAAACCACGCATAACGCATTAGAGGGAATGTTTAGATCCCCTCCAATACAGTTTCTGTGTGCTTTTCTCCTACCACCCCCTTCCTTTTTTATTTTTTGTGCTTTATTATGCATATGATGGTTACAAGATATACATGGGTTGATACAAAAATAATAATGCAAAAAGGTGCTTAAAGGTTATGGATCTCTTGAAAAACACAACAATGGGAAACATTGATGAATGTCACAGACGGGTTCGATCATTGTTGCAAGTCAAACACTTCTTCGAATTCCTCTGAAGTTGGACTAGTGCCCAAGACGCAACAGGCATTTCCCCTCTGAATCGCAACACTGAGGCGCTGGAACAAGAAACTTTTTGCTCTCTGGTCTTTTGTAGCGCTGATCAATTTATCCCCCAATTCCTTCAAGAACTTCAATGCACATTTTCCCCACGAACCGAGGGTCTCCGAGCCGATCGGAACAAAGCTGTAGCAGTGTGCTAGACCTCTGTATTTAATAATTTTCTGCGATTCCCTGAAAGAAGCAGCACCACCGCTTTCACGTGTGCTGTAGTGGAGGTAGGTACTGGCCAGTGTGGCAGCGCACGTGTAGTCCCATACCACTTGCTTACCATCCTTCCAAGGTAGCAAGGTGACCCCATCAGGGCGCTCCTGAGGATATATATATATATATATATATATATATATATA